CTTACGTCACGGGGTCTCCCTTAAGTACCCTAGGAGACGTGACGTCATCGCACTGAACGGCACGCCTGACGTCACGTCCCCATTTTACTCCTCTACATTACTTGCAGGAGGATTAACCTACTTTCAGTTTGAAGCAAAATGTAGACCCCTGAAAAGCGGCCCTCCAGTCAGTGGCTCCAGCGTCAGGATAAATCTCTTCCTTACTTATATGTCTGTCTATAAGTCTCTGGTTCTGTGTTTAATCTCTCTCTCAAATTTAGCATTCTCAGGAAGAACGTAATCAACTAGGTAGGGTGTTGACTGTTATGTTATCCGACTCTCTGTTGTATTACATTACATTTCTAAGTATACTAGATTTGTGTTTCTATTTCAATTATACCTGATGATGATTGCTTGTGTTGCAATCGAAACGTCGTATGCTAGTATTAATTTATTATTTCTCTTCATACGTGGTGACTTTGCCGAAAGAACCAAAGAGTAAATCTCTTCCGTTGCAGCAGTCACAACTTATTTCTCCTTCTCATCGATGCGTGCCACTGGGTCGCGGAATTCCTAATGTTTCCCGCCTTGATGAAAAACCTGCGCTCACCTCTGACATATCGCTACTGCCTTCTCTGCCCATTCTGAGAAAAAAATTGTTTCCATTTACATTTCTCGAAGGTCAATGCCGTAATTTATAGCGCGTGAAGCCGCAGCGCTGCAATATGTGTAGTTTTTCGTCAACATGTACTCGTTACAGGTGGATGGACATCCTGTTATTGCTTTACACTGCATCAATTTGTGAGGGGTTTGGTATACGGTTTCAACTTGCCTTCCAGTCATAACAATATCCAGCCCTTTGTTAATCCGCAATAGACATAAGTGAGGAATGCTGACTACTACGCTATGTATGTATGTTGAGATTATTTCGCACCGTACGTAGCCACTTGTGCTAATCGGAGGTGAGGGAGAAAAGACAACAAACTAAACACAAAAAGAGTTCTAAAGAAATGAGTTTTGAATATAGCAGAATGCTATAAATCACTACTTTGTTGCTGCAGAACACTGGACAGTTGTTGAAATCGACGCATTTCTTTGATGATCCATGCAGAAAGCTGAATGATTCTTTGCCTCAATAACTGGGCAAGAGATCCGAGGGGATGGACATTTTGGAAAAATTTGTACCAATAACAGGAATCCGACGCATGCAATGGCAACGTTAGTGGAAATGTAATAAAGCTTGTTGAGGCGACTTCTGGAATTCGTCTTTTATTCAACTTATCTTACAGTTACTCCACGCTAATGGTAGGCAGCGTGAAGGGACAGATATAGAGAGAGAGACGCACTGCCACGTGGCAACTCGGAGCGCCGCTCCCGCGTAGCCTCCCCCCTCTGTTCGTTCCCGTTCTGACCACGTGTCGTTCGACTCCACCCCTATTTAATACCTGGGTCACGTGGTACATTTCCGCCAATCCTCGTTAGCCTGCATGGAATGTTCCAGGCTCCCTCGTCATCTCCCGGGACCACGCCCCTGACTCATTTCCCCATTGGCTGTGGCCAAGGCCAGCAGAACCAATCCTCTATAGCTGTCACCTCTCCATCACGTCAGGGCCACGCCCCCAGGCTTCCCCCCATTGGCTGTAAACCAGGACCGGCAGAGCCAATCCCCATGACGAGTTGTGATACGTCAGTGAGCCGGATATATCCTCATATTACAGAAGGACACGGAGGTAGAGGACAATTGAGAAAACACATGGACTGATGGGAGTGGAGAACGGAGTGATGGGAGTGGAGAACGGAGTGTGACAGGGAAAGATCAGTAACAGACGCGATACGACCACGATGATCACCAACAGTTGGGGAATGCTTGCCAGAAATTTGTGGATCACAGCAACCTCTGTATCGGGGTTGAGCAGGAAAGAGAGAGCGAGTCCACTGTTGCCGTGCTGGCCCATGGATATTGTTTGACCATAATTGAACATTTAAAGCTTTCGTGACTGCAGGGATTCATCTTCTTGGTTCTTTCGGTAAAGTCACATATAAGGGAAATAATAAAATGATAAAAAATTAAACATAATAACATACAATTCTCACGACGTTTCAGCCACAACGCATGCAGCTGTCCTCAGGTGAAGAACAGGGCTGTCGGAAAGACAGCGTCCAACATCCCTGTTCTTCACCTGAGGACGGCTGCATGCGTTGTGGCCAAAACGTCGTAAGAATTGTATTTAATTATGTTTTATTTTGATTATTGGATTATTTCCCTTCTACGTGACTTTACCGACAGAACCAAGAAGACATAATTGAACAGACACGCTGAGTCGGTGCTGGTTGGTTAAATGAAGTTGAAGGGGGGAGCGGTACTCAGTCAATAATCGCCCTCTCGTTGGGCTTTTGCTGAGAATCCAAGTTTTTTTTGTGTTGCCAGGCCCTTAGTGCGGCACGCACATGTGTGTGTGCGCAAGGAATCTGTTTGCCAACATTTCAACGTACGCGATTCTTTAACCATGGGCGATGCCTTTGTCCACACCGGTAGGCGTCTGAAATGTGCAGCTTTGTCCTGAAGCGGACAATAAAGGTGATGTTAATGGAATAGGAGAGAACACTCTGTGGTGTTTTCACAACGCCAATGTCCGAGTTATCTTGAATAACAGTAATAAAATAATAATTGTATCTGCAATGAAGAATGATGGCCTCTTGCTTCTGTGCAAGACAAAGTGGGAAGTCGGCCTCTGTTAAAGTGTAATAAGAAATTCCCTCGTTATGTAGCCGAAACATAAGCATCTCCATAAGACAAAACATATTAGACCTTTCATTTAGGTATTTAAAACAAATCGTAGTGTGAGCTGGAATTTGACGGAAAAAAATACTCATCCCAATCGGTAAGACTTTTATCTTCCAGCGTACAGTACCCCTGGATAGAATAAAAACTCAGTCTTATTATATCATGAACAGTCCGCTCACAATCTACCGTTTTAATTGAACTGTCGGCAATTATCAATTACCGTGCACCACCAAAATATTACGATACAAGCGTACGATATATTATCCGTGATAATCGTATAATCTGCTTTGCAAACTATAGTTAGATTGTAATTGTCACTTAATTTTTCTTGAATATTTGATGACCTCGCTAAATATTCACGAATTACAGCAACAATATCAACGATTAACGTCTGAATTAAAAAATACAATTAACCGTTACATTCACAGTTCCCAAATTAGTTTTTCAGCGTAATTGACAGCGCGACAATTATATGACGTGATAACTATCATGCTTCATCGAAATTATTAAAACATTTTGTTGTGCAGCTTGACAGCGTGCGTATTGTAAGCAGTAGAAAAGCAAAGGGCACGAAGCACGGAGATGAGCGTGTTTGGAATTACACCGAAACACACACGGATCAGACAGCAAATTCGAGATGTCATCTTGACTATCATATTCTTTGGGTCTTTCGATAAAGCCACGTAGAGAGATCAAATAATAAGGCAGATCTGAAACACGCCAGGACTATTACCTCAGCCGTGGCTGATCATTATTTTAACGCCGTGGGCACACACGGGATTGATTTTGCCAAGACGAGGGTACTCTGCAAGCCCACTGGCTATCAGCAAAGATTCGTTCGTGAAGCCATCCAGATATACAAACACAGACACAATTTCAACCGAGAAGATGGGTACAAAGTGAGCAATCGTTGGAAAGATGTTATTAACCAATTTAGGTCATAACTGGCTGTGATGTTCCCTCCCTACCTACTACCTATGTTAGCAGTTATTTTCGACTCTCTGAGTTACTATAACACGTAGGCTTTTGCGACCAATATTATTCATAATAAACGTTTTTGGGTTAGATCGCGTTATTTATAAATGTGTCGTAAACCTCCACACACCCGACACGGCCAATCAGCAAAAAAAGTGTCACGTTGACAAAAGACAAATATCTTCTTGGTTCTTTCGGTAAAGTCACGTAGAATGTTTTATTTTATTATTTTATTATTTCCATTCTACGTAGTGAGAATTATTTTATTATATAAAATTTTATTTTGTTTTATTTTATTATTTTAGTATTTCCATTCTATGTGTATTTACCGAAAGAACCAAGAAGATGAATCCCTGCAGTCACGAAAGCTTTAAATCGAAAATAGACAAATAGTTCAATACTTTAGCCCATCGGTGTGTTGAAGAGTGAAACCACAACTTTTACCATTTTTGAGTACGACGTTTCGCTGGTAATTGCATCCAGCATCATCACCATTCTGGCGAATTTCCCCCTGATCTCCAGTGCAAGTTTAGTAGTGTCTTCCACGAGTAGTGACTAATCCCATATCTACATTTTCCATAAATATGCTAAATTGCTCTTGATATGCAAATATATTTGTCAAGGCGCCCCTTCCCCCCCTCCAACCCAGCTTAAATATACGCTGCCAAGCCTGGTGGTGCCCATTCAGACGCTGTCTTTCCGACAGACCTGTTCTTCACCTGAGGACGGCTGCTTGCGTTGTGGCCGAAACGTCGTGAGAATTATTTTATTATGTTTTATTTTTATTATTGTATTACTTCCCTTCTACGTGACTTTACCGAAAGAACCAAGAAGATGAATCCCTGCAGTCACGAAAGCTTTAAATCGAAATTTAATCAATGCTGTGCACCGTTACATCCCCGATTAGCAATGGCGCAGCTGTGTACCTTTCTGCTTCATGCGGGAACCTTGAATTTCCTCCCCAAAGCTGTTTAGTTGGCAGTGAAACCCCAGTGAAAGTGGTCTCTCTCAAAGTTCTCTGCCGAAGGCAAAGGCTCTGAGGTCAAGTTTCCTCCATCATATCCAATCTTGCGGTCTCCTCTTCATTTCGCCATACAGTCCTCCGTTCTTCAGCTTTTAAAGCAGTGCCTTCATTACTCTAACTCTGATATAGATATTTTCCTGACGTTTGTTCAGAGCTTCCTTCAGCTAACCTTCACATCTGGCGAGAGGAAACGGGCTATGGACACACACAAAAAAGTGGCATTGAAGCAAATATATTTTATCTTTTATTCCACGATGGGTAGATTTACAGATAACATTTTTTAACTGTAAACAGATGTATGAAGACAAAGTGAATGCTTCGCTATGCAAAATTTGGCAACATCGGCAGACGGCTGTCGTCTAGGAAAAACTAAAACGGTTGAAAGATAAGCAAAACAGGTAATCTTACGTCACGTACATGCACAAGGTATAAGTGACATTATATTACACATTCCGTAAACGTTAAATAAAATAAATACTTTACGAAACCCTCTCTGTCATTGTCTTTGAATACATGGTTTACTACGGGTGCACAGTCTTTGGTTATGAAGCGGATCGACCAGATTTCTGCAGCAAAATTCAGTTAGACGTAAATATCGACTCCTGATGGACAGAACGTATCCTTTAGTGGATTTTACAAGTTATACCGTGTGTCATTAAAAATGGCTGCAGGACTCACGATACGATTTAGCGAATTGGTTAGACAGTTTCCCGCACCTCCGATAAGCACGGTTGGCTACGTACGGTGCAAAAGAAGTTCACAATACCATAACATACATTGACCGTTGTGAAACATTCGACCCGATTGAGTAGTGCTCAATCTTTTTCCATTCCACGGCACAGTTTCGAGCGTGATTGACCTCCATGATGGCACACACTGAACCAAAATACGGGTGGGTGGATGTTATAGCTGAGAAATAATTCACTATCCCTCGCTTCTACTTAGTATCTTATCAAGAATACGGAAATCCAGTGGTGCCGTGTGTTCTGGGCCGTCTGGCACAAGTTTTATCCTCCGTTGTGATCAAGCATTTCACTTGGATGTTGTTCTAATGATTTTGTTGTCAGCAAATCTTAGATGGGGCATGTTTTTTGCCCATTAAAATGCATGCCTTTGTTGCTCCAATACAATTTTTGGAGGGAAAAAAACTTTAGAATGTTGTTACGTTGTTTATATAGCATTGTTTTAGTAAGTTTTAAAGGGGCTTGGTGTGGCCCGATCGTTTTAATTTAGTATAGGTTAATACTTGTTTTTTTATCTGTATTGTATAATGATTGCTATTGGGATCAAACATCGAAATGGAATGTTTTGCACTTTCTGTATACAGCATGGACAGGTTGTGCTTATTCTGTAGGATTTTATTGTTCACGTATGTGATGTTCAGATTTGTGTACAATGAATTTTAGGTGTATCTTGTAATTTTCTTGTTTGTTGCGGTTGAACCCAAATCAAGAGCCGAATGGCTCACAGGGTAAATCCTAATAAATGAAACTGAAACTGAAGCCATGCGTAGCTTTGGCAAAGGCGCATGATGTTGACAAATTTCCTTGTTAACAATGTATTTTGGTACATATCACCATTTGGATTGGTTTGGGGGGGTACTGATGTCTAGAGGAGGGGTGATCCCCCCCTCCCCCCTCTCACCACCCTCATGGCTAAGGATTTGTATCGAGCACAGTGATACAAAGTAACTATATTTATGAAAAGCTGATCGGTAAAACTAACTTAATTCGATGCAAGTTTATATAATATTCAATACACGTAATAACTGTACATATAATACTGAGCTCAATTTAAGCCACTGTTACATTTTGTCAAAAAATTAGACTCACTTTTACATATGCACACAAATCCGTGTGGTTGTAACTTTTTTTGTCTTCTAAATATATTGGAAAACATTTGTATTTTAAACACATTCACAAAGATTTGCGCATGCTTGCAAAAATACTCTCCCTAATATATTCCTTCCTGTGTACAATACTTAAACATTATCACTCTGTATCTGTGTGTAAGAGCATAAATCACAAATACCCGCGCTACTTTTTCCAACAAAAATTGCTCCATTGAGCTTCACTGCATGCTAAATATGGCTGTCATCTGCATGGCCACTTCCACCTACTGATGGCAACAAAAAATATCTCCTGCTCTCTCTCCCTGAATTATCTTGCTTGCAGTTGCACGGAATGCCCAATAACTCATAAACATCACACCGTCTCTTCGTGCCCTGGAGTTTTCTCAAAGCTGGGAATGTTTGTATATATATTATTTTACAATGCAATGAAATCTTCTTGGTTCTTTCGGTAAAGTCACGTAGAATGGAAATAATAAAATAATAATAATAAAATAAAACAATAAAATAATTCTCACAACGGCTGCTTGCGTTGTTGCCGAAACGTCGTGAGAATTATTTTATTATGTTTTTTTTTCCATTCTACGTGACTTTACCGAAAGAACCAAGAAGATGAATCCCTGCAATCACGAAAGCTTTAAATCGAAATGCAATGAAAGTCACAAAAAGCAACCGAGTGCGTTCCCTTCAATCGCAAAATGTCAATCCCTAGCGCACTGCTGGGAGCATCGACGGTGTTCACGGTGTAAGCCTCGCAACCAACGCAGTACACATTCTGCACCAACCGCTCACACATCTCAAAAACACACAAAGGGAAAAAAAAAGCAGGGCTTCATTTCTCACCGAATGTTCTCTGGGTCGCCAGTAAGACTGCAGTGGGTGGCACGGAGAGCCACGGCTAGAGGAATGATGGATATGCTCTGCTAGCTGCGTAAATATTTTCTGGCCCGTTGGTAGACTTCAGTAGACCGGGTAGGCGGGGGCGGGGGGAGTGGCACTTACCTGGCAGCCACAGTCATAACGAGCAGTATACTGGACGTGGTGTGCCGGGTGCGTAAATACTTTCCGGGGTGGCTGTTAGACCCGTAGCCACCACAGCCGGAGCGAGACGTGTACGCGATGTGCCTGTGCCGGTCGCTGACCCCCCCGGGACAAACCCCCAGCCGAAATGAAGCCCTGGGAATCAGATTATTTTAAAAATCAAAAGACACGAGCGGCTCACGCAAAGTACGTCTTGGGCACTCGTGCGACGGGAGAGAGGCTGGTGGTGCGCGACGACGCCTCCTCGTGCTGCGAGCCCGAGGAGAGCGTCAGGCTCCTCCTGGTCAGGCGGCTCACGAACGTGTGGTTCCGGCGGCTGCTGTCGCTGGCGCGCGACTCGTCCGCCTCGCGGGAGCGGGCACGCGAGCGCGCCCCGCACGGGAAGTAGCGCACAAAGTCGTAGAGCAGGTGCCCGCTGAAGAACATGTAGATCCAGGGGTTGGTGCAGCTGTTGAGGCTCGCCAGCAGCATGACGATGGCAAATGGGATTCCTGTGGACGATTCACAGATTGGGGTGACTGTGTGTATTTCTGTCTCATTCAGGTTGCAATCATCGTCGTCGTCGGCGGTCATATATGTATTCAATGCTGGAGGTGTCTCCAAGCCGTCGTCAACATCTCTCATCAAGGCCGTAGCCATGGGGTCAACATTGGGGGGACCAAATGTTCCAGCGGCTCTGGGGGTCACCCCCCAGAAAAAAATCAAATTTGAAAACGAATTTCCTGCCTAAAATATTAAAACATTCACTAACACATGGCATGGACTTTTTCTTTATTTTTGCAATAATGTCTAATAGTGCATTGCGCTGTTTTTTTCTTTTTTTCTTTTCTTGTTTCATTGTATGTAATGGCAAATATTAGGGGTTAATAAAGTACAACCATAACCACAATCATATAAACAGAAATCTATATCATAGCAATATATTGGGGGACATTTTGAGCATATTTGAATATTTGAATATTGGGGGGGATGTGTCCCCTCCCAATATATATTATAATTACAGCCTTGTCTCTCATAGTCTGAAGCTTATCTGGTATCAGATGCGTCTGTTATGCTTGAGGCTTATTTATGCCTAGTGGCGCTTGGTGATAATGTGAAGCTTATGTGCGAACCAGAAAAATCGATTCTAGATTGGAGACCAAGTTTAAAAAGATAACCTAAGTAGCATCGTTGATTAAGTCACACACATACACACTGTCATATCCGAATAAAGTTTAAATATGGAGATAGATCAGATGTTTATTTAAACAAACATAATACAAACTGACCGTCTGAAAAAGCCTTCCCCGTGCCATGTATGTACGTTGAACTTCTTTCGCACCGTACGTAGCCAACCGTGCTAACCGGACGTAGTGTGACCACGCTTTCACTATGCTGCTAAGCGCGGGTTTATTAAAGTGGGGGGTGGTGGAGTCAATGACTGGCTTAGATGTCTCTCGCCACTGATGTTAGCCATGGGCAGGAATCAAATTGAGGTCACACGGGGGTTTAGATCGCAGCGAGTTAACTAACCATGGTGATACCCGCTCCACCCCCAAAATAATTGTACGCGATTTAAAATATATCCATGTTTTATATTGAAATTTGTACAGGGGAAATTTTTTTTTTAAATGTCATTTGGTTGTAAAAGATGTCTTCAAGCATTCATAAAAATACATATTTCATGATGTTACTTTTCGTGAATAATATACGATGTTCATTTATTTGGAAATGGATACTGTGTACGCAATTTTACATGGAATGAATGCGTTGCATTGAAGAGCGGCATTCATAATGTTACGAGATAGATATTAAACTTATGATGCTCATATATTTCTATTTAATAAAAATCTAACCCGTAGCATTAATCTCAAATGAGTGTGTGGATGGGTGGGAAATAAGCGAAACTATTCAAACGAAACTATTTGTTTTATTTTACCAGATAAGGCTCAATGAGCTATTTATCTTTTTCAGAAGCAACCTGGCCACAAATGATCGCTCAACAAAGTGGCTTATCGCGTGGAAATTCATATCAGCTAAATACTCTCAACTCACGTTTCTAAACGTGGAGGGATAAACAGGAGGACCCGGAGAAAAATCTACGCCACCACGGGGAGAGAGAGAGATGTAAAACTCCGAATATACAGCAGCAGGCATCGTCAGGGTCTGGATCGAACCCACGACCTCCTCTATACCAGGCGAGGTAGTCAACATCTCGTGGGTCTGATTAAAGCACCAATACGTTCCGCTTTTCCGCTCGTAGAAAACTAACACAGACGTTATTACTGAACGTCGACTATCCCTCGAGTAACAATGCTGGCTTCATCGTCTCGTTTGCACTTTATTTTTTTAAAGTTTACTTTTTTTACGTCTAATTCCCGCAGCGTTTCCTCACGGTTTTGGGTTTATCCGAGAATCAAGCAACGCAACCTCTCCCACTCCTCTCGGGGCGCGGGCATTTGAGGGCACGCGACGCAACGTGGCACGGCACATTGAGCAATAGCCTCTTGCCTCTTCATGAACCACAAAGCACAGCCTGAGAACAGCTGCCTGTTACCTCAATCTGTGTGTTACCCCAACACCACAGGCTGTGTGTTACCGCATCACGGTGGCTAGGAGATGTTAACTACCTCGCCTGGTATACAGGAGGTCGTGGGTTCTATCCCGACTCTGACGCCTGCTGCTGCTGCTGTATATTTGGAGTTCGCGTGTCTCTCTCCCCGTGGTCGCGTGGATTTCCCCTCCACATTTAGAATCAACAACACTCGTTTCGAACATTTGTCTGCCCCTATACATTTCCACACGATAAGCCACTTTATTGAGATATCATTTGTGGCCAGGTCGCTTCTAAAAAAAACAGCTGTATAGCTCAGTGAGCCTCACCTGGTAAAATTTTAAAAAGTAAAGTTTAACACCCTGCTGTGTGTTACCTCAACAGCACAGGCTGCGTGTGCCTTGCCTGACTTGCTGGGTGACTAAAGCAAAAGTAGCCACTAGACCTGAAAAAACACACCTCAGGACAGACTTCTAAGACGCAGCTTCATCCGCAGTGTGTCTTTGTTCTGTGATTCGCTAACAGAAAATGCCCCCCAACAGTCTTGCTAAATTCTAGATTTGAAGATTTCGTAACTGCAAGGGTCCACACTCTTTGATTTTTTCGGTAAAGTCAACACAAGTTTCCGTCTTCAGGTGGCACCGTCGCAGCAAATGACTGCATCACTTGATACAGTAATTTGTTATTTTATTTTTTACCTACGTGACTTTACCGAAACAAACAAATTGTATGTAGTCTTGCTAAAGGCTATAAAGGTGGCATCTCTTTTTTTTAGCCTTGTCTTTAATTTGGTTTGACAATGACAAATGAGGAGCGGTGGCACAGCGGTTAGCTCACTGCCCTACAAACCCAGTGACCCGATTAGATTCTCGCTCATGGCTACTATCGGCGACGAATATCTGAACCGGTTCTGGGCTTCCCCTAGGTCGACTCAACCTCAAATGAGCACCTAGTGCGATGTGTACACATCAGCACTGGGGAGACAAAATTTGCCCGGTCTAGTGCTGGCCACCCACCCCCTCCTGTGCTGTGGTGGCCTTCACAGAGGTGCTCGCTAACAGAACTTGCTCCAAGACTGCTAAAGGCAACACGGAGGGTGTTTGTCTTTGATTCCGTACGAAATGAGTACTCGGTGCGGCGTGTAAACATCAACACTCGGGAGACAAAGGCGGCCGGGTGTGGTCCTGGACAGCCACCCCCTCGTGTGCCTTGTCAACCTTCATGTAGGTGCTCGTGAACACAACTTGTCCCGAGAGTGGTCTTTGTTTTGATTCGGTTAATGACCCAGTCGTCTCAGATGTCTATATAAGGCAATCGTCTTTGTAAATTGCATGTTTGGGGTTTTTTTTTTCAACCCACGTCAAACTAAGCTTCTGTGTATTCTCACGCCGCACATTGCTGCGTGAAAACAACGTGCAATGATAATTTTAAAAAAATGTTCCTGCCTAGGAGCTTTTAACACAAGCTTGCAGATAAAGTCTGAATAAATGGAAAAATGCACGTCGGGAAAAGGGTTATCTACACACTTTTGTGAGGAAACAAATTGTAGAAAACTGGTGGACATGAGTTATGTTTTTAGAATGTGTTTCACGTGAATGCTATCATGTAAACTTAATAGTACTGCCACCTCTTTATCAAATCAATATATACAATTAATCCATTGTATACACATGCACACGTGCCACTTTGAACAAACCTTATACAAATCAAAATTTTTCAAGTTACATGCACAAATATGGTATTGATTGAAAACCTGTCGTCTGTGTACGTGCATGCAAGACCGAACGTTTTTTTTTTTCTCCAAGACCTTTCCTTGCCAAGTTATGGGCACGAAACAACACAAATACACGCTTATGTGTGCTAAATAATTCAAAACCCCCCGAAGGTTCACGTGCTTATGCTGCTCCACAAGACAGACAGACAGGGGAGCAATAGCTCAAGACGAGCAGCAGGCAGACAGGAGGAGCAACAACCCGGGCAGGAGAGGCTGGAGGGGTGAGAAGCAATGACCAGACCAATATGTCGGGGATGAAAGGGTGCTGAGAAGCGAGGGAAGAGATTGAGAAGAAAAGTCGCAAGCAGAAGATGAACTAGACGAGCAGCTGCGTCCGGGGCTCTAAATCCCAAACGTTGGGTATTCAAGGCCTTAAATGCACTCGCTTCTCCCTACATTCATGACCTCCTCCAGCCATATATTCCATGAAGATCATTAAGATCCTCAGATTGTGCATTGCTCACCAACCCACGGTCTAGGCTTCGCGCTTGGGGGTGACGGTGCCTTGGCAAGTGCGGCGTCTGAACTCTGGAAATCGTTGCCCTTCGAGCTCACGGCATCCGAGACACAAATCTTTAAATCTCGACTAAAAACATGACTTTAAATGGCTTTCTCTGTCTTTAGTTATTTTCAAACGTCGTTCTCACTTCTTCTTTCCCTGGTTAATGCTAAACTTTTTCCGCCTTTTCATGCAGAGCGCCCTGAGAATAATTGTTTAAGGGCACTTTAAAATTTTAAATAATTTTTATTATAAAATACCAGCAAAAGCGACAATCGCTGCACCTTTAGCATGGCACTGTCACGCTGTATACCCGCGCGTGCTCGTACCTTCAAAAGGCGCGGAGCTGTCCCAGACTGACCACATCTGCACGAAGAAGAACGGGGTCCAGCAGATGATGTACACCATGATGATGACGAATGTCATCTTGGCCGTGCGGATCTTCGCCTTGGAGATGCTGCGCACCGAGCTGACCCTGGAAGGGGCGCTGTTCTTGGCCGGGTTGTGTCTGCTGTCACCTTCCTGCGTCTTGGCCTTGATGTTTTTCCAGATGGCGAAGGTGATCATGCCGTAGCACCAGATGAGGATGATCACCGGGATGATGAAGACTGAGCTTGTCATCCAGGTGATGTACGCCTTGGTGCCCCAGGGCTTGATGAACTCAGCCCAGCAGTCGATGATGCCCGAGTTCTCCACTTCGGACATCGAGAAGATGAACGCCTGCGGCAGGCTGAAGAGCATGCTCAGGAACCAGCTGACGAAGATCATCTGGTAGGACTGCTTGGAAGACTGGCGGAGCGTCCTTAGAGGGTGGCAGATGGCAATGTAGCGGTCTAGCCCCATCATGATGAGCACGTACGTAGAGGCGAACATGCCTAGGATCTGCAGGTATTTGATGGTGCGGCACAGGAAGTCAGAGCCGTTGAAGCGGTAGGTGATTTTCCAGATGAGCTGCGGCAGCACCTGGAAGAAGGCAACCACCAGGTCCGCGATGCTCAGGTGCATGATGAAGAGGTGCATGCGTGACGTCTTCTTGCGGGTGTTGATGAGGGCCAGCAGCACGCAGACATTGCCCACGATGGCCACGAACAAGATGATCGAGAGCAAGGCGATCTCGACTTTGGCCACCTCCTCATTGCGGTCCAGGGCGTTCTGCGAGGAGCCGTTGAGCGTAGCATTGATGGAGGCGAGGGCAGTTGTGAAGGCCTCTGCGGGCGCCGCATGTGAGCCGTTCGAAGCTGCCGGGGCGTAGGCCACGCCGGTACCATTAAGGATGTCGCCCTCCATCTCGCCCGTCACGTTTCCAAGCATTTTTCCTCCCTAAAATCTTGGGAGTTGAACCACGGTAGGGGGTTGGGGGGGGGAAACAAACGTTAGAAAAAACACGCATTCAATTGTGCACTCGACGTCGTGCATTGTTAACAGTCACGTAGTCGGGCGCATTGACATTTTTTCGCAGGGGTGCGCATTTTCCGAGTGTAATTTCTGCTGAAAAACATTCACAACTCTGCGAGCTATTAAATAAGTACCGAGCCATTTCTAAATGTTTGTCATGATGTCACCAGTTCCATTCACACCCCACGTGGGATCGTAATAAACATCAGCCACGATCTATCCACTGCTGGATGAAGGCCTCCCCAAGTTGTTGCCGGTCCTCTCGATCTCACGATACAACAATCCGTATAGCTCTGGTGCAGAAACCGATCTCATCGCTCCATCTCTCTGCAGTGCTTCTCCTTTGTGTGGTCTTCCTCGTTGGCTTGCCATTCCATCGTCAGTCTCGACCGATGGTCATCGTCCCTCATTGCGATGTCCTACCAAAGTCCACTTTTACCCTTCTCAACAGTCGATATTACCCCTTCTTGGTTCTTTCGGTAAAGTCATGTAGAATGGAAATAATAAAAGAATAATAAAATAATAATAAAACATTATAATATTATATTATAATATTATTTTATTATGTTTTATTTTTATTATTTTATTATTTCCATTCTACGTGACTTTACCGAAAGAACCAAGAAGATGAATCCCTGCAGTCACGAAAGCTTTAAGTCGAAAGTAAATATTACGTCCCTAACTTGCATTGTTCTCCAATCCACGTGCTCCTCTTACTTTAAAATGTCAATTTTATTTCCCGAGTGAAACTCATTGATATCGACGGGACCCTTTTTGCCGGTATCAAAACGGTGAACATCTTAACACCTGTATTATTGCCGTAAAGGGTGAATCCCATTCTTTATTTTCGTCAATGTCTATTGTGTGTTGAACTTCTTTTGCACCGTATGCATCCATTGAGCTGTGCATCTCTCTTTAAATGGCGTCTCGGCCAGCAAACATAATACGGTGTCATCACAAACGTGTATCTCCCTATTCTTGGTTCTTTCGGTAAAGTCACGTGACTTTACTGAAAGAACCAAGAATATGAATTCCTGCAGTCACGAAAGCTTTAAATCGAAATTTAAAGTTGAGCTTTTGCAGTTTGGTCTTGCAAATACTATCAACGTCATGGACAGATCACAGATACCGTGGTTAACACTTATTATACATAAAACCTTGATATTTACGATTGTGTTATAAAAAAACATTGTATCTTAAAAGATATCTCAAACTTTGATATGTAGTTATACCTTGATTTAAAACTTCTTTCGTCACTGCAGGGATTCATATTCTTGGTTATTTCGGTAAAGTCACGTGACTTTACCGACAGATCCAAGAAGATGAATCCCTGCAGTCACGAAAGCTTTAAATCGAAATGTCTCTCCCTGTGCTCGTTCGCATACCCTCCAGCTACTGTCCCATTTCTTTCGTCATTTTCCACGTTTCCGATCAATAAGTGGATAATACGCACTGATCGAAAACGTTTTCTTGTGGCACAATGGTAAAACAAAAATTTATATTTAAAAATTGTTATCTCAGTCTACCTTCAAAAACTACACTAGGTATCTGTACTTTGATGTGTATTACATTTCTGTTAATAGAACAAACATCTACATTTGTTTCTGTCTTCATTTGTAAGTCAATTTCCTCCAAGAAAAAACGAAAACACCAACATTTATGTTACTCCGAAGAGTCTTACGACCTACGCTCTATAATAATTTGCATCGTCGTGGAGAAAATACGTAATGAAACTCAATAAACAACAAAATTACAAATTATACCTTGTATATAGCCTGCTAAGGAAAATAAACTCCCGTCCAATTCCATCTGCCATTAATTTCCAAGCGAACGCTTTTGCAAAAAATTAAATACACTTAGGCAAGAGCGACGTTTTTCAATATGAACATCACATACCACGTGTGGCCGGATGTGCTTCAAGAAAACACCTGTGTGCCTATGTGTGTGGCTCTCTGTGTGTCTCTGTGTTATCTCTCTCTGCTTGTGGCTGTCTATGTGTCTCCGTGTCTGTGTTTTGTCTCTCTCTTAAATTTAGCAATCTTTGGTAGAACGTAATCAACCAGGTAGGGTATTGACGTATGTTAGCCGACTCTCTGTGTTGTATTGCATTATATTTCTAAGTTTACTAGGTTTGTTTTCTTTTTCATTTGTACCTGATGATTGCTTGTGTTGCAATCGAAACGTCGCATGCTATTATTTAATAAATTTTCTTTCTACGATACTTTACCGAAAGAACCAAAGAGCAATTCCTGCAGTCACAAAAGCTCCAAATCAAGTTTTTACCTACGAATTAATTTGCGTACATCGCAAAAGTTGGTAAACCACCCACACGGGTAACCTCATCATCAAGCAACAATCTCAGCTCTCCCGCATAGGAAGAACTCGGTGATGCTGCTACACACCACAGGTTTAATTCACCTTCACAACCCGTGATGTTATATTGACATTTCTGCACCCCGTAGCTCACCCACGGGGGGGGGGGGGGGGGGCAAGCATTTCGGATTCATTGTCTTCTTCTGTTGCTTGTGTAGAGGAGTAAAATGGGGACGTGACGTCAGGTGTGCCGTTCAGTGCGATGACGTCACGTCTCCTAGGGTACTTAAGGGAGACCCCGTGACGTAAGCGGGGTCACTGTGGGAACGGGTAGAGTAAGAAGGGTGAAGAGGGAACCAGGGGTAGAGAGAGGGATCGAGTAGTGAGTCTGGAGAGAAGCCGGTGGTAGCCGTAGAGGCGCTTCTCTCTCCGCTCGGTGGAGTCGGCAGAGTTCACGATCCGACACGAGAGAGAGAGACCGGAGCTAGCCGGCAGGGACCCGGACTCAGAGTAGGACCCCTAGCCCCTGGGAGTTGTGTACCCTGTGTATTATTGATAAGCTTTAATAAACCCTGGCGGAAGCCCTTAACTTACCTCCGTCTACGAGTACGTCCGTCGGAGTTTCTCTACACTTGGTGGGGGAGTTGACGTTGACACGTGCACGTGAAGGTTTGGTGATTGAGCCAATGGGAGGGCGGCTTTTGGAGTAACCTGAAATGCTCCCGATGAACGATCAATGTGGGCAGTGGTGTTTCTGTGCGGTCCAGGGTTTGAGATATATATATACTCACGTGGAGATTCATAGACTTACGTGGAGAGACATAGACTTGCATAGAGATCCATATCCTCAGATATATATCCACAGACTGAGATATATCTATAGACCTATATAGACTTTTTGACTTTTAAACAACTTTTATTGCCGCCAGCAGCAACAGCACTGGAGGCGATTTCGATATGAAATACACAAAGTCACCAGCAAACAAATTAAATATTAACGCTACAAATCCACGCGCTGTGGCGCTAAAAGCACCGCGCACAACACGAAAGAAAAGTCACGTGGTTGTGGTGGTCATCGCGCACGCCACGGTGACGAGCGAGCACTTCAGAAGGTGAACACGAGGGTGCCGTCCACGCTGGTACAGAGAGGGGCTTTTCCGGCTCCCCAGCGTTCGAAGAAGATACGCACATCACCGACATGTGTGTGGTACATGGCGTGCTCCAGCCGGAGCTGCACCTTAAGCAGGCCTCTGAACACTGGAAGCACAAAGCAGCCGTCAGTGTCACCTTCCAGCATATTTTTCCTCGATATGTACACCACCATCTTCGCCTGAGCACAGGCGAAGTTGGCGAGGTCATGGCGCTTGTTAGCCAGGTAAGGCACCCCATATACGAAGCTGCTGTTGTAGAAGGGCACCCCCAGTTTCCTGAAGATCTCCCCCAAAAGGTGGGACATTGGGTTGAACCGCTGGCAGTGTAAGTATATAGAGAACCTTAGACTCACGGAGATCCATAGACTTACACAGCGATCCATATACAGTATTTGCATGTTGATCCATAGACTCGCATAGAGAACCGTAGACTTACACTGACATATGATGGGGGAGTTCATTCGCAACGTTTCCATGCTCATATCGAGGTTGGCAAGTGAGCCAGTGGACGTCTACAGGAGTAGCCTGGTCAACATCTGAAACGCTGCTGGTGAATGATGGATTAGGTGCTTGCTAGGAACGTTTGATACACTATGAGGACACTGTAACTCCTGCCCATTTGCCCACATCACAGATACATTTTGCCAGTGAAGGAATGCAACGTGACCCATGGCTAGGGACAATGAGTTCCTTCTGCCTATGCCAGAGACACTCCTATGCACAACGATCTTGGACGTGGTTAAGACAACCCGATAACATAATAATAACAATATTCACAAAAATGCATGTTGCAGCTCCAAATTTTTGCTTTGCAAACACAGTCCAAGGATTTTAGTGGAATCTTATGGTCTTCAAAACTCACCTGGCATGTGCCAGTAACAGGCCCTTGCCAAGTATGTACCAATGTTGTGCTACTATTTTCCAATACAACTTTGGGCATGCACTCTCGTCTCCGAGTTTTGTGTCTGGTTTTAAAAAGGGGCTTTTTTCAGTTAGTATTGTTTTGTGAGATGAGTGTTAATGTGTGATGATATACCTCACCAGTACGGTATAGGATGAACAGTTTGGCTAGAGTGAATCATGTTGAAACATCTGTATGCTATACGTTTAAGGTGCTCCGGAGAGGTTCTTTGAACAAAGGCGAGGTATTGTTGTCATTATGCAACTCTGAATTCCTACGCAAATTAAAGACACAGAGAGATAGATGACATTTTTACCTCCATTGACCAGATGTCTCTTATTCAATATAGGCCTGGGTTTAAATAAAGTAGGGCAAGTTCAGAAACATCCATAATTTTACGTCTTTTTCACCATATGAAAAAGATATACAATTATTAATAACTCAAGACAATGAATATTGATCGTGCCAGGTAGCGTGGTTGGGAGATCGAGTAGCTCGGAATCATTTAGTTGCGAGTTCAAATTCTGGTTGGGGGTTGACTCAACACATCCTATTCTCTACGGTTGATAAAACAGGTACCGTTTTGTGGGGAAGTCAACAGTGGTTGTTCCATCGACTTACCCCTGCCATAGGAATGCGAATTTCCAACAGCTGACTCGGGGCTGTAAACTGGAGTTGAGGGACACCTCAATCCTTTCTGGAGCAGGAAAACACTTGGACTAAACGTTACACAACAAGTCATATGATTGGGGTCGTTTAACCATACTTCATTATTCTTGTCCGTGGGGGATTGGTGAAACTGGGGCCCAGAAGCAGTTACGATACCACTCGGCACTGACGTCAGTTGTTGCGGCCAAGTGAACTTAGGAGACCTGCTTCATATTACTGTACAGCCATAGCATAATTATTTTGCACTATCGAGTCAACCGTGCTAATCGGAGGTCTTGGGAAAGAACAACAAACCAAACACAAAAAGCAGTTCTCAAGAAATGAGTTTTCAATCAAGATTTAAAAATACGTAACTCAAGTGGCTTCCTAATACAGTATCGGAAGGAAGAGCATTCCAGACGGCCGCAGAAGCGCGTCTGAAAGCGTGTGACAGTCTTTGTTCGATGGTTTGCAAAAAGCGGCTGCAGCTGCGAGAATGACCGGAGTGTCACGTGGTGATGATTTAAGCTCCTTGACGAGGTCAGCAAGGTATTGTGGTTCATTTGCGGCAAGCGCGCCGTGTGTGTCAAGAGTGCGGATATCTTTGTCATACACTAACCACTGTGCCACTGCTCCCACCCCATTTAAGTCATATAGAACCAGAACCGGCCCTAGA